TGATGGATGCAATTGGCAGCAAGATGTTTGTGCAGTGAAGCTGCTCTTCCGCACATATGCCAGGCCGCTGATAGCCACACTTTCCACAGTGGTGTGGGGTGGATCTGCACGCTGGTGATGCCAGTGACAGCCATTTGAAGCAAAGTGTTTTCCACAGTGGTGTGGGGTGGATCTGCACGCTGGTGATGCCAGTGACAGCCATTTGAAGCAAAGTGTTGTTTTCGATTCCACCCTAGACCGCCCCACCCCACTTTTAACATGCTTGGGACTCAGCCGAAAGTGAAGTTTCTTTGTCCAGCACCTGTTTTCTGGTCTGTGGAACTCTGGGAAATGCAAAGGACTACATATGTCTATTTCTATGTGTTCTGCTCACCAAGTGCACGACCTGAAATCCCAAAATATGTAGGCGATGTTGGGGAAGGCAGCATGGGCAGAACCCCTTACTATTACATGTGCAAAGTCTGATGATGGATGCAATTGGCAGCAAGATGTTTGTGCAGTGAAGCTGCTCTTCCGCACATATGCCAGGCCGCTGATAGCCACACTTTCCACAGTGGTGTGGGATCTGCACGCTGGTGATGCCAGTGACAGCCATTTGATGCTGTTGTTTTTATTACCCTCTAGACCGCCCACCCCACTTTTAACATGCTTGGGCTCAGCCGAAAGTGAAGTTTCTTTGTCCAGCACCTGTTTTCTGGTCTGTGGAACTCTGGGAAATGCAAAGGACTACATGTCTATTTCTATGTGTTCTGCTCACCAAGTACCACCTGAAATCCCAAAATATGTAGGCGATGTTGGGGAAGGCAGCATGGGCAGAACCCCTTACTATTACATGTGCAAAGTCTGATGATGGATGCAATTGGCAGCAAGATGTTTGTGCAGTGAAGCTGCTCTTCCGCACATATGCCAGGCCGCTGATAGCCACAGTTTTAACATGCTTGGGACTCAGCCGAAAGTGAAGTTTCTTTGTCCAGCACCTGTTTTCTGGTCTGTGGAACTCTGGGAAATGCAAAGGACTACATATGTCTATTTCTATGTGTTCTGCTCACCAAGTGCACGACCTGAAATCCCAAAATATGTAGGCGATGTTGGGGAAGGCAGCATGGGCAGAACCCCTTACTATTACATGTGCAAAGTCTGCTGATGGATGCAATTGGCAGCAAGATGTTTGTGCAGTGAAGCTGCTCTTCCGCACATATGCCAGGCCGCTGATAGCCACACTTTCCACAGTGGTGTGGGGTGGATCTGCACGCTGGTGATGCCAGTGACAGCCATTTGAAGCAAAGTGTTGTTTTCGATTCCACCCTAGACCGCCCCACCCCACTTTTAACATGCTTGGGACTCAGCCGAAAGTGAAGTTTCTTTGTCCAGCACCTGTTTTCTGGTCTGTGGAACTCTGGGAAATGCAAAGGACTACATATGTCTATTTCTATGTGTTCTGCTCACCAAGTGCACGACCTGAAATCCCAAAATATGTAGGCGATGTTGGGGAAGGCAGCATGGGCAGAACCCCTTACTATTACATGTGCAAAGTCTGCTGATGGATGCAATTGGCAGCAAGATGTTTGTGCAGTGAAGCTGCTCTTCCGCACATATGCCAGGCCGCTGATAGCCACACTTTCCACAGTGGTGTGGGGTGGATCTGCACGCTGGTGATGCCAGTGACAGCCATTTGAAGCAAAGTGTTGTTTTCGATTCCACCCTAGACCGCCCCACCCCACTTTTAACATGCTTGGGACTCAGCCGAAAGTGAAGTTTCTTTGTCCAGCACCTGTTTTCTGGTCTGTGGAACTCTGGGAAATGCAAAGGACTACATATGTCTATTTCTATGTGTTCTGCTCACCAAGTGCACGACCTGAAATCCCAAAATATGTAGGCGATGTTGGGGAAGGCAGCATGGGCAGAACCCCTTACTATTACATGTGCAAAGTCTGATGATGGATGCAATTGGCAGCAAGATGTTTGTGCAGTGAAGCTGCTCTTCCGCACATATGCCAGGCCGCTGATAGCCACACTTTCCACAGTGGTGTGGGGTGGATCTGCACGCTGGTGATGCCAGTGACAGCCATTTGAAGCAAAGTGTTGTTTTCGATTCCACCCTAGACCGCCCCACCCCACTTTTAACATGCTTGGGACTCAGCCGAAAGTGAAGTTTCTTTGTCCAGCACCTGTTTTCTGGTCTGTGGAACTCTGGGAAATGCAAAGGACTACATATGTCTATTTCTATGTGTTCTGCTCACCAAGTGCACGACCTGAAATCCCAAAATATGTAGGCGATGTTGGGGAAGGCAGCATGGGCAGAACCCCTTACTATTACATTAAACCATTGGAATAATTTTGAGCATTGACATGGGCGCGCCCGATCTCAGCGAGGACGTCCACCATGGGGTCCGAAAAGATCAGAACCAAGAGAGTGCCCAAACCTCAGACCAAGTGCGGCCCTCTCAAAAGGCTGCTTAAAACGTCTCAAATGCAAACGCCAAACGTCAAGCTTTACACACTGACAGCTCAGATTGCCACCCATCTGATAACCGGATTTCAGCAGGATTTGACGCCTCACGTGGCACATCCCTCCACATACGACGGTAAAGCGGATCATTGCCGCCTCTGATCTGCGACACTCATTTCCTTGAACTCCTGTCAGCGCGCTCTGCGTTTGCACTGCAACGGCGGAAAAGCACGGAAACATAGGAAAAATGAAAAAGCAACAAAAGGAACAAATGGACCAAGAAAGAAGCCAACGCATCAAAGGACCAAGCAATCAACCACCCACACCGAAAAAATATATATAAGAAGCCAAGTTTTCAGGCAAAGAGCACCTGAAATGACGACAGCGAGAAAGCGCCTCTGGCATGGACTCTTCTTCCTCCTCCTGAACGCGTGGCATGGGTGTTTTTGCGGGGATCTCTTGAGCATTTAACTCACACACAAACGCACACACACCTCATCCTCTTCTTCTTCTGGGGCTTCTTCAGCAGAAGCCGCCACCTCTGCCTCATGCAACATTGCAGCACAGCCATCTAAAATGCAAGAACGTCATAGAAACTCTGGCACTGTCAGACGCAGCTTGGGGCCCACGCATTCAACTTCTCCGAGGCTGACTGCAGCTGCGACTGTCGCTTTGTCCTCCTGCCCTGCCATTGCCCTCCCCTCTCCTAGCCTTCTGTCAAAAGGGATCCGTGCCTGCGGAGCATTTGGTGGTAGCGATGCCAAGTGCTTAAAGCATTCCTTGCAAGAAATCGGAGGTTCGCATTGACGCCATCCAGGACAAATCGCAGCTCCAGAATCTTCCGTTGCGGCCAAGCTTCCGTGAACTCATCCAAGTCAATGCTGCCTGAGGCTTTTTTGCCCGGCAAAAGTGGAACCTTTGGGAGCTACGCTCACATGTTGCGGTCCGAGGAATACTTGAACAGCTCCAAGGTTCCCACCATCGCTGTTTGTATCGACCTGCACGCTGCACGCAACACGAATGCTACAGCCTTGAATGATGCAACAGGATGCTATGCCAGGATACAGCAACAAGGCGGGATACAGCAACATGCAAGGCGAATGGTCCCAGATTAAGCAACCTGGCTGACCAATAGCGGTGTTCGCTGAAATCAATCATCCCAGGGTCGATCCATTTTTTCTCATTTTCACCTAGTAAAGTGCTCAAAAGGAGCACGAGCATGTACAGGACTTCAGGACTTCAGGAAATGCCTTCTTGAAGAGCTCATTGGCGTTGTAGCCTGGCTCTCTCCCTCTCGGCCCCCGAAGTCTCCGAGGCTTGGTCTGCGGCCGTGCAAGTGCAGGCTGCGCAGCAGATTGTCAAAATCCTCATGGCGTTCTGGGAGAGTCGCTTGTGTGCCCACATGTGCTTACTCGGCAACGCATCGAAGTCTTGGCTCAGTCTTTTCATGTTTAACTCATTCAAATCCAAGTGCGTATCCGTCTGTGCTGTTCTTGAACAGTTCCCATTTGCAGAAATGGCACAAACCCAAAACTGACAGCTCTGCGAATGGAAACAAAGGCTAATGAGTCAGAAAGAGCAGGCCCAGCAAATACTTCAGACAAAGCTCCAACTCTCCCATGCGTCCATCTTGGCTGGAGTACCTCCAGCACAAATTAGGCGGAACACTCCTGTAGCATGCACGACATCGGCTCACTTTCTGTACCACATAGCTAGCCTCACGTGGCTGCATTGGCAGAATGCTCGATCCTAGTCTGAGAGCTAAGTCAGCCAAGCAGCGTCTGGAGGAAATCTTGCGGAAAGCTCACTTTCTCCAAGAGCGCTTTGTTTTTCTGCAAGACATATCATTGGCAAAGCGTCAGTTCTATTGGCCCTGGGCCAGCATGATTCCGCCTCCTCGCTGTTCTCAGTCAGCTTCCAATCCTCAGGTGTTCGACAAGATGGCCCTCTGGACAGGTCGTCTGATTCTCGCCAAATGTTTATCCACGCAAACAATCCTCAATCAAACGCCATAACCTGAACTCTATGTTGCCTGCCACTCTGCGAGCATGCTGGCATATCGTCGCAGGGAAACAGGGTGCACATGCAGTGTTTTGTTGAAATTGTCTGATCGCTAAAGCAAAGCCTCGCGACATGGCTGCATCCGCAGCGTCGCTGGCTCCTAGTTGGCCCTGCTAAACACCGTTCACGCTAGCGCTGAATGAGTTCAATGCACATGATCGTCGTCGTCGTCATGATGATCATCATCATCATCATCATCATAATCATCATCATAATCATCATCACCAGCAGCATCATCACCAGCAGCATCATCACCAGCAGCATCATCCTGATCACCAGCAGCATCATCATCATCATAATAATGACCAGCAGCATCATCATCATCATCATCGTCGTCATCATCATAATCATCGCCACCTCCAGCATCATAGTCGATGTCGTCATCGCCAGCGTGATCGTCCGCATCACCGTCATCTTCATGATCTTCAATCAAAGCCAAACATAATCACGACAATTTCCCACCATGTTGATATTTGCCATGGTCAGAATCAGCATATGTAATATTTGCTACTGTATGGTAATGCTTCCCTTAAACTGAAAGCCTTACACTGCTTGTCCAAATTCCCTATTCAGGGGCCCATGACTGTCACTGAAAGCCCTACACTGCTTGTCCAAATTCCCTATTCAGGGGCCCATGACTGTCCCTACCAACCCCGAGAAAACGGACCTTTTGACCATGGCACATTTATTGTGTAGGAGTCGCGAAAATACAACAATTCAGCCAAGCATCGCGTCGAAACTCTTCCATCCAAGCTTTCACGCCCAGCCTGGGTCATCCCAACGTGATTGACGTGTCGTGGCCATGCTAAGCCTGGGCCAATCAGCCCCTGCCCCACTGCTCCCAAACTGTGGCTCTAGCTCTTGTGCCCGCATGATGGCGGTGGTGTAGTTGCGTGCTTTTGCCCTGGCATTCTGAGCATGAAAACAGGAATGCACTGCCTTGCCGCGCGCACGGGGCAAGTCCCACGCCAGCCATCTTCTCACGCATCCAACCCATGCAGCCGGCAACTTTGGCCTGCCAAGTCGAAAAAACATTGTCTGCAAGTCTCAGCCGTCGGGGTACACGCACAAGACACATTCTCTTTCCGTGTCAGCCAAGAGCCCCTGAACATCCTTTCTCAAGACTTGCCTTCAGCATCTCCGCGCTGGAAACAGAGTGCGGAACTTGCTGTTCAGGCAAAGCGGCTGCATATTGCATGTACAAGTACCTGGCATCTGGAGCCGTTCCATGCAGTGTCCACGCGAACCACTGGCTCACGCTCCGAACTCCACAATGCACATGATCATGCCCAGCAAGGCCCAGGCCTCGATTTGCAGCATCTCTCTGGAGAATGCATTGTCACTTTGCTGAGGCTGAGACAGATTCCTTTTTATTCTCATGAGTGATGGCCTCCCATGATGGGAACTCCCATGGTGTGCACAGCCAAGTTCCAGCTCAGCCCGACGGAGTCCATTGCAGTGGACTTTGCTACCCAAGCGCCAGCCCAGAAGGCCTTCAATGATGAGGTGGGTTGCTGGTTGTCCACATAGAGGGCAGGAATTTGGATGACTAAGTACCTGGCCAAAACATTGAACGGGGCATGTTTGCTGCACATGTGTAGAGCACGTCATGGAGGTGATGAGCATGATCTTCGCATTGGCTTTAATTTCTGGCTTGTATCCTCAGTACACCAGCAGCAGCTCCATCACGCGAAACAGGACAAGAAAGAATGTGTTTTTCACTCCAAACAAAACAACTCTCAGCACCTCTGCCACAAGGAATGGATATGCAAAGGCAACTCTAAGTCAACCCTGAATCAACTCTAAATCAGCTCGAGAGCTATGTTTGTGCATCAACTGTGCGTTCCTATGTCTTGTACAGCGACTCGCATACCGAAGTACACGTTCCCATGACTGTAGCCCACACATGCACACAAACACACATATCAAGGGACCAGCAACTGCTGATCACACATTGCCTTAGGAAGAACACGAGCCAACAGGCTGGCAACTACGCGTCCAAGCTTCGGATGCCATTGCGGAAGAAGGTATTGTAGACTCCGGTCTGCATCGATGGCAAACATGAACCGATGGATGCTTCATTTTGAGAACCCCCCGCACCTTCTGAATCTTGGGCTCTTGGGCATACAGGCACTTCCCCCCAACATAGTCCACGCGGCCTCCCAGCACTCCCTGGCACATGCGCATAGGCTGCACAAGGGGCGACATGACGCTCACTTAGCAGCAGCCCGGATCACCCAAATATTTTCTAAACACATGCAAATGTACCAGGAACCAGGGGATGGTCAGCAGCATGATGGTGCTGCCTGCGTGCAGAACTGCGCAATAATCCATGCTCAAGTCCTCTTGGCCTGCCTGCCAATGCCCCGACACCAACCGCCACCTTGCATGCTGCTGGTGGAAGAAAAGCCAACAGACCTGCATTTTGCCATGTGTAGGGCTTGCTTGGCGGTTCAAATTTCCTCGTATTCACAGCTAAAGTATTTCCTTGGACTGCACAATCCAGCAGTCCACCTCTCGAGAATACTGCCTTCAGCGTCTCGCCGGAACTGAGTGGCACGCATTCTCTTGAGCCTTCGCTGTTGGCCCGATTCCAGAGAAGAGAACCCTTGGCAACGCGTAGGACTCACAGCTCGAGATCTGCATCAACTCACACTGACTCAAGTCTAAGGGCAGCACATCATACCATCTGGCACTGCCCCAAGCACAGGCAGCACTACACTGCCCACAAGTCCAGCAACCTGCGCAACTGTATTTGGGCAGGCAACACAAAATTGTTCCGCTGGCGTTTTGGACGTGTAAGTACCTTTCTCTTTTGCGTCTATCTGGTGAAACTCTTCTCCACGAAGGACATCTGAAAATCCGGCCAGCGATGCTGAGACTCATGAAGAGGACTGACAAACTGCAAAGAGCAAAAGCTGGTGAACTCGCTTTGCTGGGCCTGGCGGGATGTTTCCCGGGTGATACGTCTTTTTGAAATACACTACATGCAGAAACTCACCCAATATACAGAGTTTCTGATCCCAGCATTTGAAGGGACGAATCTTCTGCACCCTGCAGCTCGGCACCCGTCTGCACACTGACAGACTGCTCTGAGCAGGGCGATTTCAAACCAAGCTCAACTTACGTTGTGCAACATGCCTTGAGAATGTGTTCAGTGAAAGAAAAAAAAGGTTCTGGCCGCACGGCGTGGTGCTTTGTTGAACCACTTCATGTCGGCTTGCGTACTACTGGAGCAGGCGGCACGCAGCGGTCTTCCTGACAAGCTGACTCGGGAAATAAATGCAAAGGAGCGCTCTTTCTGATTTCAACCTCCACCTGCAAGGCCAAGCAGCACTGCTCTTAAGGCTGGTTGCCAGGTATCTTTCTCCTGCCGAGCCCCATTCCTAGCCGGGCATGTTACCCTTTTTGGAGTGTTTAAAGGGAACCCAACAGGAAACTAGCCATGTTTGGGGATCCCCCTATTTTAGACAGACCCACATTTCTTTCGCCTGATGCTGCGATGCGCTGATGTCATGGCTCGGAAGTTGCCGGCACTTGCCTGGCTTTCTTCAAATCGCAGCGATAGGACCGCAGGCATGTGCAGGTTCTCTCCTCCTAAGCAATGAGCATCTGTGCAGAGAGTGGTCAGACCCTGGTGCCCGGCGAAGCTTGACGATCATGGGGATGCCCTCTGCCTTGGATCGGGCAACGATTATCTCCTGCAGCGTGCCCGTTCTATTGCAGCCAACAGCAAAGCTATTTTCTTACCTTTGACAATGCATTAAAAAAAAAAAAAGCTTGATTTCCCCTTCGGGTTCCACCCCAAGAAATGTTGTGGGGTGTTGCGTTGGCTGTTGTCTCCAAACGCGATTGCTGACTTGTTCTCTCTGGGGATGTCCGCTAGCCAGGCCACTGGAAGAAGCTGCACAGAGTACCGCTCGCAGGTGGCATCAAAGTGGGTCACCTGGACTCATGGCATAGACGCATGTGCAAAAAAAAACGTGTAGATAGCAGCAATGAAACTCTTCTCAAGACAACAAAACAAAGGCAAAGCAAATCCGCCGCGCAACTCCCGCCAACATCCCAAAAGACCTTGCTTATCTAGTCGGGAACCAGGAGCACACAAAACCCTACTCGGAAACACCGTGTCATTCAACAAACAAAATGCAAACTGTCGGGAGTCCCTCCACCACCAACAAATAAACGGGGTAAAAACTCAATTGAGGCAAGCTGCACAGTTTGTAGGTTGCCAAGCACTTAGAGTTGATCATGACAACAACGGCAGGTCTCTCCCCAGCCTTGCCCCATTGACCGTTGAACTCTGGCGTCTTTGTCAGCCCAGTGATCTGCACCCTTCGACCTATAACTTGTTCCTTGGCATGCTAGGATCAATCTGGCTTGCTTTTAATGATTGTGCAGACAGCTCAAGACATTTGGGAAAGCCGGCCGAGTCGCGGAGTCCAGGTCCGTCACTCGAGGATGTGGTTCTGGGCACGCTTCCGGAGTGCCTGGAAACTGTCCGATTGACATGTTGACAATGACACTGGCGCAAGTCACGCAAGTCACTTTGCAAGCCTTTCCGTGCAGGCTCACGTTGAGGAAGGTCTGAGACATCTGAAGCAGAAGCTGGCTCTGGCTCCACCTCCTCTATGGCTTCGATACGACGCACTGGCCACTCCTCCGGCTCCTTGATTGCCCATTCCACCTCATCACACCCGCTTTCCTTGGGCTTGCCTTTGGAGCCTTCTGCTATAGCATTTGGCTCATCCGCGCCTTTGGGCTTTTGGCCAGCGCTCGCTACGCGCAAACGTGCTGCCAGGGGATAGAAGGAGCGTGGCTTGGACACAGGGACCGAATCCAATGCTTTGGGATCGGGCCCATCAAGCTCATCCTCACCCTCGGCCTCTTCACCTGAGCCAGGCTCCCCAAAGCTTGGGGTCTCTGCACTGCCCACGCTGGAGGCCCACTCCATGGCCGCACCGGCAGCATGGCAAGGTCGATGCCGAGCTCTCTTCCCACCACGACGCGTGGGCTTCTTGCGAAGCTTGGGAAACTCCTCTCTTTGGCAAGCCATTTGAGCTCCAAGCAAAGGCTGGCTGCTCTGGTCGCCCTCTCCCTGGCCACCTTGGCCACCCTGGTCACCCTGGCCACCCTGGCCCCGGTCGCCCTGGTTGCCCTGGTTGCTCAAGTCGGATACTTTCTCTACGCCTGGATCGACCTCTTGGGGCTCCAATGACACCTCCTGGCGATCAAAGCTTTGGCACGGCACCTCCGTCTCAGACGCCATCGGTGCGTTCGGAAATGGCACTGCCACCCCCACGCTGGGCATGGGGGCGATGGGGGCCATCGGTGCCATCGATGCCATCGCTAGGAAGTGCTGCCCCGGAGGTGCTCCAACAAGGGGAACCATCACAGGCACCTCAGCGGATGTGGAATCTGCGTGGCTGATGCAAACCCACGGCCGCTAATTTTGCAAGTTAAGGCAGGAACCATCGTTGGAGGAAACGGTACTTGGCTTGGAAGCGAGTTCTGCATTTGGTTTGGCATCGGGCATGGTGGCACCGGCTGAATTGGTTGTGCCGGTTGCACTGGCATGGGAGCTAGCTGCCAAGCAGGAGCACTGGCACGTCTTCGACGCTTTCCTCGTCCAGATGAGCTCGATGCCTGGCGGCAAGGCTTCAGACTTCTTGAGGCAACCCCTCGGCAACATGGATTCATGTAGATTAATGATTAGCACCTTCGAATCAACGAGCGTGCCTGCTCACTGGATCCAGACCTCGCAAAGGGTGGCAGCATCTGTCCATCTCTGCACTGGTAGCCTTGAAACTCCCAGTCTGTAGATGGACAAGATCTACCACTGGACGGCTGATTCTGCGAGCCCGATGATCGCGACAACGAGGAAGCGCAAGAGTCCACAGAATAAAAAGAGGCTTCGCTTAGCCTGTCGTCCTCCAACTGCATGGGCAAGCTGGACAGTGGGAGCGGGTCGGAAAGCGAAAGCCGGCGTGGCTGAATGTCATCAGTTGTGTCGGCATCATCACGGCTGTTGCCATAGTGAATGAAGGTGTTTTTGACGGAGTCTGGCCCGATCTTCGATTCCATTGGGTGCAGCTTTGGGATAGCTAAGTCTTGGGAATCTGGTCGGAAAAGAAGCCGTGCAGCTCGTGAGGCTGATAGCTGTTCTCGCATGCCGCTGTGACCTGAGTAGCCATTTACCTCAAAGAGCTCATCTCCTCTGCGAATGCCACGGAGACCCGCTGCCTGGCAGGGCGCACGAGAAAAGGCAGTCTTTCACACTGTTGCAGACTATGCTTCCATTCGTCCTGATCCCCCAAATACGCCTGCTGCCCTTGATTCCATCTGCCAGCCGGTGAGCATGGGTCCACGCCAGCAACTTGTAATCGCTTGGCCTGCGTGAATGCTTTGCCCCCCTGCCCTCAATGACGATCCCTCTCAGGCGCCAAATTATGCAACTGGGGTGGCTGCAGCATGAGCTCGCACATTCCAGGCCAGCCCCCACGCCTGACAAGCTATTTGCAAATCGAGACTCTTCTCTAGCTGTACCTCGCTTCAGCGAACACAATTGACCCCGCCTCGTACTCAGAACGACTCAGCACAACTTCGTAGGGCTCAAGGTTCCTGTCCTCGAAGCCCTGCAGAGGAAGCTTGTTCCAAAACACAACCGAGGATCAATGCGAGCTTGCGCACGTCTTGCAGAGAAGGTCGCCTGTACAAGCCTGTCATCTGCTTTGGGACCTAGCCAGGCTTGAGGGCCAAAGACACGCCTTGCTTTCATGGCAAGCGAAGTCAGCTTCCCCACGAGCCTCTAGGCACAAGTCGACTGGGCAAAGCACCTCAGCTCTATAGCGCTATGGAAAGACTGGCCACTCAGCCCGTGGCTTGACCTGAGGTTCTTGCCCATGGCTTGGCCTGAGCAGCTCGAACATTCTCCCCGCACCCCCTGAGGCCCTCCCATCATGGTATTTCCTTCTATTCTCCCCAGCTTACGCCTCCACAGTCGACGCATTCGTCTGCAGGAAGGCGTGGCTTGGTCCCGCACCCTGAGACACGTGCGCTAGAGACTGTAACCTCGCTGAGTGCTTCCCTTGGGCAACATCTTTGCAGGCAAGGAGCCTAGATATGCCTTACATGTGCAGGTGACAAGCTGCGACACAAGTGCAACGCAAGTGCAAGACATGGCAGACACGCTGCAGTTTCCCTGGCACTCTTTGCTTCCAATGGACAGTCTCCAGACGCAAGGACTTAGGTCGGAGGAAAGCAAATCATGAGCCACGACGGCTGCAGCAGCAGTATACACTCTTGAGAAGTTAGTGGGACCATGCATATAAATCAAATAAACATGGTTATGTAACAAATAAGAATAGAAAGCTATGAAGATGACATCAGACCTTGGTCATCTTGTCTGTTTCCTGTTATCCATGCTTACATCACAAATGATGGGACATCTCGGAAGTGCCCAACAGATCAGCTCCTAGAGACTTTCCTGATAACTTGTTTGGACAAGTGTCAAAGGGACGATCGATAGCTGAACTCCAGCAATGTGCGGGTGGCTCAAGCACAATGATGCCGCACCTGCGGAATGAAAAGCAGGAGCTCCGAGCCATCACTGAGCAGGTTGGCTGCTGTAAAGAGGATGTATCTGAGCAAAGGCAAGTGCAGCAAATTTCAATGTGTCATATGAGTCATATTCAGATGAGCACCAGTCTTAAAATTTCAATGTGCACCAGTCTTCGCGGTTGTCGCTTCTGGGGGCTCTCTCTCCTCGAGCGTTCGTGAACCTTCTAAACATTCCTCTTCAAGAAGGTCACGACCCACCTGATGCGGAGCACACCGCCTAAGGCCGAAGCCCGTAGCAAAGAAATATCCAGAACAGCATCTGGGGCTGCATGCCCTGGCATGTGTCATGAAGCAGCTGCACTTCTCCACATCGCAACCAACAGACTCAGCTCGGCACCTCTGGCGTGGGAAAAATAAAGTCAAGCCTTAAATGGCAAACCGATGACTTTGCAAAGCTCTGAGACGCGGCAACACATCTCTGCCAGCCCAAGCAGCATGACTGGTGCTTGGGGGCGGTCCTGAGTGCTGCCGGTGATGTGCAGACTGGCAATGCAAAAGCAGCAAGTATCCTGTCCTTGCTGGGCGGAATTGAAGCTGCCTTTCGGCTTGAGCCCAAGATTGCCAACTAGCACCAGGTTTACAGTTGACATGCAATTCTTTCATTGCTTGAAAGACATGTGAGTCTGTGCAACGAGTGGCTCGGTATTCACAGCAGGGAACCCACCATGGTATGCTTTGTCAGGGAGACGGCAAAAAGCGTCTCTAATTAAACAAACCCGATCAGGCAGTGTCTCAGGGCCTCGCCATGTGGCGACAATGCCCTCTTTTTTTCGCGCATATCCTCAGCCCGTGAGCGACTGCCACCGTCCAACTTCTGCCTCGCGAGTGAAGTTGCTGCAGCGGCTCTTGCATGTTCTTGCTGCAAAGGGTGCTTCAAATGCGCGTCTCGGACCTTTTTGTAATTGGCTTTATTTTGGCAAGCCTGAGGTCAAGCCTAGCACAAAGGAGGTAAATATGAGATTCTCTGCGAGCATGAAGCACATTTCAGAGCACCAGAGCTGCTTGCTCAGAGTGACTGGAAGCTTGCCGAGGAGCATGTACCACTCGCTGGCGCTGGATGCGTACTTCAAAGGCACTCCCGCGGAAACTTTCACGGCCCGGCCCCAGTAAAGGGACATTCCCGCAATGAGAAAGGAGGCAAAGAAGCAGCTTTTGTAGAACGATGTGATCGCCAGAAGCTCCATGAACACGACATGGTCCGCAATGTATAGCACAGCAGCAAGCATATGTATCATGTCGCGATGCCAGGACTGACCTGGTCTGTTTGACCAGGCGGTGACTCCGGCAGTAAGAATCATCTGAATTGCGAAACTGAGAATGGTCGCGTCTGTCTGAAAGTCGAGAATGCGAAGGAAGAAGAACCATCCAATAAGCCAACAGCCAAGGCAGGTCCATCTGGGAAGGCCGCGAGAAGTAGTGTAGCTCAAAGACGCAGGAAACTTCTTCTGCCCTTCCGATGTTCCCATATAGTACAGGAGCATTGGCAAGTACTGGCTGGAAACAAAGCATATCTGCGCATTGTGCAAGCTTCTCACGTGCCAGGAGGACAGATTTGATCTCAATCGTGTCCCCTCAGCTTCGGGATTCAAAATGAGGTCTGCAAAGCTGGATGCTGGCATATCCATCAGGTGAGCAGTTGCAGGACTGCCAGCTTGGTAATGGCAACGCGTTCAACGTGCCATTGGGGGCATCATAATACTACGGCCATGGAGCAAATTTGCCGTGGTATAGTGTCAGTACTTGAGTGGCTAGAATTTGCTGGGTATATATATATATATACACATAATATATTGCTTTGCCCGTTAAATCGTCGGGCCTCAACATCTTTGAAAGAAGTTGACTCCCAAGCTTGGGTCCGGGAAAGTTACAAGTGCATTTGATGTCTGCCATTACCGCTGGATACATACTTCTCATGTGCTTCGGCATGCCATGACGGCTGATTGGGGATCTGCTCTCTGAAGCCTAAAAGCGCCAACTTGGATCATTCAAGTTTCGCTTCAGGACATCATAGCCATTGGCCAGCCTTTGCCAGGACAACCTGCAGGAAGCCATCCCCAACAGTCCAAGCACAGTCATCAGGTCGTATTCGCCTAGCACAGTTTGCGCAATCCAGCCGAAACAAAGACACGCAAAGAAGCGACACCTAAGTTTGCGGCGCAAAAAGCTCAATGTCCATGACCAGCTCGCCTCGCACCTCACAGGGCACATCAACGCTAGCAGCAATTGAAATGAGACGAAGGGATCTGAGTCTCCGACAGTGACCTTTAACCGGCGAAAACCAAAGCCAACATCTACCAACCTGTCATGACACATTCGGCCAATGCCAAGGCTTTCTGAATTTTGCTTCAAATACGCTCTGCCACAATAGCGGTAAGCGAGCCCCGTGAACGCGGCGTCGCTTCGTCTCAACTCTGGGCGCTTCAGAACCACCTCCACGTCACCCTGGTCCTGCTCCCAGCCTGACGTCGCATGTGATGCTTGCCTCTGGTGCTTCGTTTGTCTGGATGGACTTTCCACGTCTTGATATCGAGTCATGCTCAGGCTGCAACTCACTTGTGCTCTTGGCCTCAATCAAGGGTCAGAGTGACAGAATACGTTTGTGCATCTTGAAATTTGACATCTGAACAAGTATAACATAAAGGCACCAAAGGCTGACTAAGCTGGAGCTGAGGCCTGCTCCCCGGCCGCCCGGCACGCACCTCAATGCCCTGCTGGGTGCAAACCACCTCGAGTGGCAGGTCTCAAATGTGCATTTCACAGAGAGGTAGACATCACTGTTGGGATGTCAAAATGGCCCCTGGGTGGTTTCACTCCTTGAAAGGCAAGCAAAAACGAAACCAGGGTCCCCAAGGCGTCCTATTTGACAAGCTCCCACAGGGTATCTTTTCTACTTTAACCTTCAAAAGGTGCCCCTTCTGGGAAGCAATTGGAGCGGATCGCTCATTCTGAGCACGGCGAGCTGGTGTAACTCGGGCGCACCGTGAAGCGCGGAGGTTTGCCCCCAGGCTCTTCCTGACACCATCTACACCAAGATCTCTCAGGTGAGTACCGCCTTGCCTGTGCGGGATCGGATTCAGACAGGCGCAGAGTCGTCAACACCTCAGTCCCTCTGAACCACAGAAGCACCGCTGCACGCTCAATGCGTCAGCTTCTGAACATGCAGCAAGAATTTAGGGCAGCACTGTGATGTTTCTGTGAAATGCAGACATCAGTTTCTCTTCTGTTCTCCTGTGCAGGATGCATTAGATCTGTGCGCCGCAGGGGATGTGACTGCGTGCCTGGTGATTGTATTCCCCGACAGGTCCAAGACGCGCAGGGCCTTTACAAACATCCCTCTCTGGCCCCCACAATTTTGACAACCCCCCCGGTCAGAGTCTCTGACAGCTGGTCTGGGCCGCACCGCAACATCCAATGCTCCCAAGAATTCCTCAGCCTTAGACATTTGGAGAGGCATTGGCAAGTGCTGAGGCAGTAAGGTCGAGAGAGCACCGAGAGCACCAGCAATTCAGTAAGATTGCTAAGATTCGAACTCCCTGGTCACCAATGTTGTTCCTGCTCAGATCCAGCTCTGTCAGCGATCGATTCCTGCCCACCAAGAGCGTATGGCATGTTGGGGACCGTCAGCCCACCTCAAAGTCGCAGAAGCCAACTGTTGGGCTCCCCTGGTGGCTTCACGCAAGTCTCTCCAAAGCCGATTTGAGCAAAACCCAAAACATGTTCCTGCCTTGATCCAACCCGGTTGTCAGACAAGTCGATCCTTCGCACAATGGTTCGCTGTAGCATGTTGTGGCTGACGCAATGGTGTCTGGTCAACTTCCCACGTTGCTTGACAGCTGGGGGCCAGTCTTCGTGAGAGCCTTGTTGGTGTCCAACACTGCAGCAATGGGATCCTAGGCTATCTGAAACATTGAGTCTAAAGCATGACACAAATTAAGTACTGAACGCCAACGATGCATAGTTCATGCCAAGCTGCAATCCCTTCGTCTGTGATACTATTGCTGCTCAACCTTGCGACGCTGAATTCTCAGCACGCATGCCCCTGTGTCTTCATGCAAAGGCTCTGGCACAAGCTCCGTAAGTGTTTGATTTCTCATCAGGGCTCCTTGTAGCGAACGAGCAATGGCTTGCCTCTCTTGCTATCCTGTCCTGCTATCCAGCTGGCCCCAGAATTGCCTCATCTGCCATACGTCTTGCGTGCGGTGTCTCCATACTTGAGGCTCGAACCAATCTTTGCCCGCACAAGTCTCAGAGTCGTGACCTTGCGATTGCTTTGAGAGGACATACATCCCATGCAACTTCTGAGGTGTCGACTGTACCATCCCGTTTGATCGCTCCAGACTTGGCCAACATTCTGTCTTGCAAATAACGAACGCCGTGGGATTCCGAGGAATGCACAAACTCTTCGAGTTCTTGAAAGCCCGATGCGATGACCTTACATGGACCGAGGTCTGGGCATCCGTTCGCATTTGCACGACAGCTTGTGCCCCGCTGTGAGCAGGGCGTGCGTGTCACTGAGATCCAACTCCACGCCATGATTGCGGAAGTCTGCCTCAGCTCTCCAGCGACGAGAGGTATGGGCGCATGGGATAGGCCCACACAAGGCTGAGGACACCCTTGGGCAGCAGCTTCTCCCCCCAGGCTTCGACCTCACTGCGGCCTCCCACTGAACCCTCACGCTTTGTCTCAGATGTCTCAGACTGCGGCTCCCTCATCGGCATGGCCGGAGAGGTTGAAGTGCCCGAGGATGCCATACTGGCTGAGGCTCATCGGCAACTTCATGTCGCATACTATTATAGATTTGTCTGAATGAGATGGGCAAGGAGCTGACAAAATTATTTCAGGCTTTCCAATATGTCAAGCTGGAAGCTCGCAAAGTGCCCTGCAATAACTCCGGTCCTTTTGCCAGTGGCATGCCTCGGCCAAACGCAGAAAACTGTGTATTGTATTCTCAAATTTTGTTTTTCTACATTTGTCTTATCTGCATTTTGGGTGTCAAATTTTCAGGTTTCCAATCGTTTTGGTTGAATGGCAGGTGCCTGGGGGTCACTCGGAACGGCTTGCAGCGACTGAGGCATCAAAGAAGTACCTTTTCGCCACTCGGGTGGATTGGCCGCTTGGCGATGGCATAAGTTGCCAGGGAGTAAATCTTCGACGCTCTGGTGGCCTCTTGAGATTTGAGTGGTAAGACCACAAGTTGCCCTTTTGTTGGGTGACACCTAGGAAGTGAGTATCAGGGCCCGGAAACTCCACATATGCTGTCTCAATTGAAAATTGGTGTTTGCTTGGAGTTTCACCAAGCCACTTGTTGTGCTTTTGTTCACCATACACGTGGTGTCGTTAGGCTTGCTTTGTGGTTGAGTGAGTTTTGCGAGTTTTGCGCTGGTTTGGGATTGGTTTTCCCAGCCAGCCTATAACCCACCCTAAGAAAAGCAGCCCCAAAAAACTCCAAACTGCCACCCAATCAAAGCCAATGGGCAGCCCTAGGTCCAACTGAGGCAGGTGGATCCCGCACAAATTGACTCCTGGCCCACCTGATGCTGGGGATGTTGCCAAGAAGAACCCGACCATCCACAAAAAGCCAGACCCAGCTTAAATCAGCCCCTGAGCCCCCTTGTAAACCCTCCTGAATATCTGCTCCAAACCCAGAGCCCATTTAGGCCTATCGACCTCATAGCTTTCAGGGGAAACAACACGACCGCATCCAAACCATCGCGGACTCCCTATGACGTTATTCAACCTTCCGTGAACCCTTCCGCCAAACTTCCGCGGCGTGATCCGTTGCTTCCGCGGACATTCTTTTGATAAAACTGCTGTTGCGTTCTGCGGCCATGTTTCGGATACTTCGCGGTTGATTTTCGGCTTTTGTTGTTGCAACGGTCAATTTTACACATAAACCTCTTCCGCTACTGCAGTCGGATACTGGGGGAAGAAAAAACGTCAGCGAGCGACTTGACATAAACAGGCGAGCAAATGCCGCCAGGGCGCTAAGTCCACCAGACTTGAATCCAGATCCTGGGGGCGGCTTCCGCGCGAAAGGATCGCCGATGGCTGAGCATCTGGCAAAAACAAGTCGCCGTTGTGGACCAGTTGGCTCCTGGACAGGGTCCGAGCTCAGAATTCATGCACGACAAACCGCGGGTGATCGTTAGGTCTAAGTTTCAGTGCCCGGACCTCCTCACGGTCCTCCCTCTGGGCCTCCTGTTGCCGGGGGACTCCTGCCATCATGCACGCATATATCACATTGCGCGCAACCAGACCCTTCAAAACTTGGTTAAAAAAAACAACTTGAATCTGCGCGTTCAGGTGCACTGAAATGCAAGCGTCTGGCTGCGCACTCCATGAAGTACGTGTTCAATCTCTTCACATTTAACGACATTGCATCCCAAGCCTGGATTGCTTGGTGTGGGCGCATTTTGGGCACCTTGTCCCCCTTCTTTAGAAGGAAGAGGAACCTGAGCTGTGGCTGGATGCGATCTGATCATCCGAACTCAGCCGCTTGATGACGTTGCCAACCCAATGCCGAGTTGATGCCAAGTTGATGTCAAGTTGATGGCAAAGCTCTAATATATTCCAAACAAGAAGTGCCAGGTGTCAGGTCTGACACAAAAACTCGCCTCATCTTACCTCAACAAAAATGGTCTAGGCGGTTTGGAATTCACGGCGTGAACCACTGGCTGCCCCAGGCGGCCTGCCCATGTTCTCACTTGCGACCTGCGAATCACTTGCGACCTCCTCGATCACTTGCGACCTGCCCAAAATCACTTGCGACCTGCCCAAAATCGCTTGCGACCTGCCCAAAATCACTTGCGACCTGCCCACGGTATCACTTGCGACCTGCCTACGACCTAGTAGGGTTGTGGGGGGGGCATGATAAGCACCCGCCCAACTGCTTCGGCCCAGCCGCTCTTTAACCGGAAGGGGGAGCGGGGGGGTAGGCGACTTCTCTTTAACCGGAAGGGGGAGGGGGAGGGATGATATGCACACCCGCTCGACTGCTTCAGCCCAGTGGGGCATGATAAGCACACCCGCTCAACTGCTTCAGCCCCGTCTTCTCTTTAACGGGGGGGGATAAGCACACCCGCTCAACCTTCTCTTTAACCGGAGGGGGGGGGGGCATGATAAGCACACCCGCTCAACTGTGCGTGGGTAGGTGTATGGGTCTGCGGGTGGGTACGTGAGTGTTTGGGTGCGTGTGTGCAAGGGTGCCTGTGTGAGCACGTGGGCGTGTGGGGTCCGTGGGCGCGTGCGCGTGGGCGCATGGATGCGTGTTATAGCGCGTGGGTTCGTGGACACGTGCGTCAGTGGCGTGAAGGAAAAGCAGGTCACAAGCGAAAACAAGCGCAGGTCACAAGCGAGAAAAAACGCAGGTCACAAGCGACGCACCGCCCTGAACTACTCCCGGGCTGGATGCGCAACTAAAGCTTCGTTTGTGCAGGTCAAAGAAAAAAGTGTGAACGTACCACAACTTGTTGCTATCCAAAGCATCCACCAGTAGTTTGAACGGATTCTGAATGCTTGCGTAGCAATTGCATAGATACAGGGCCCCTATGAGTGATCTACATGAATGCCTGTCTCCTCCGTACACAATCTTGCAGTCTATATACATGAGCAGTGGTATGGCTCATGTTGATAACGCTGAAACATGCTGTGCACCAGCAACATCAGCCGCAAAATCTCAGCGGCTGTCTTGAAATAGAAGATAATAGAAGTGAGGGGAGTTAGCAATCGAAGTGAAAACACAGTACAGTGCTTCTCCAAGGCTTCTCAGGTCAGGGCCAAATCTGGCAAATCATGATCGTCTGGATCTCCCCTGCGCGGTGAGTCCACACTTCATGATGCATATGGTTCCGTGTTCAACTTCCATTGGCGCTCATATGTTGAGCGCGAGTACTCATGTCAAATGCGAGCAAGCCAAGAAGCAACCTAAGAAAACCGAAGACTCAGATTCCAACCTAAACAAGGTCTCATAGTCCAGATCCCCATCCGACCTGATCCATCTCAGGCACTTGACACTTGTGAATCCTGCGGCCAACCGAGCCTAGCGTTGGCGGACGCTCCATTCTTTGGGTCGGCCTAAGAACTCATGTTTGCACATCAAGCCGAATCAACTGGCTGCTCTGAGGTTTGTGCTGTTGGAAGCCTCATGTCGCTGGAACTCGCAAGACACACTGTGTCCGACTCACTGCTCGCCTTTTGTACAGCTGGTCCCAATCAGGACCTCAGCGTGTGTCCTTTGCTCTCGTTTGCTGTGACTCAGAGGCTCTGAGCGTGCAATGGCAACATGCAACAAATGCAACAACTGCAACAAGTGCAACAAGTGCAACAAATACAAGCTGCATTTATAATCAAACAAATCAAGCTCTCAGGCGTCCACCAACAGCACTTCCAGGCCTGACGGCAAAGCACGCTACGAATCGAGGCGCAATAAGTGGTGCGCTTGCCAGCCTCCACTCTTCTTGCTCGTGCGGAGCCTTTCGCACCTTGAAAGACTCAGTTTTCCCCTGTCAAATGAAAGCAGGGGACGTATCCTTCCGGCGAGCACACCCGCAGCTCTGAAAAAGCAGAGTGCTTGCACCCAGTAGTTGTGAACACGCAGGATATACTTGCGGCCTGGCCGTCCTCTTGCAAGTCATCGAAAAGGCTTTCCCACTCTGGCCTGCATGGCTCCGCGCGGTTTACCCCCGTGTGACACCTTAACGAAGCCTCTCTGAGGCTTGCTGCTTTTGCGGGCCTCAGCTGACTGGCTTGAAGGCAAGAGTTCATGCTTCCAAGGCCAGAAGAATCTTTCACGTGCCAAGAAATGATAGCGAGCACGCTGTCGCACCACTTGAAGTTTGCAACATCCAACAAGCCACAGCGTGCGTGCCGTCAGGTGGCATGTCGCCTGAGCAAGCACAACTCTACATGTGCATAGATGGCATAGCATGCACCTCAGAGCCGAACCGGTTCTGTCTCGTTCGTGCCCGCCTGCACGCCTGTGTGCAAGCTCCGGTTTTGCCTCAAACGCACACCCATCCCATGCTGTGGGGCGAGCCAGGAGTAGCGGAAAGGCGCCTTACTCATTGGATTGGGACCGGCCAGTGAAACGCGGCAACCGCCTCAGGCCCTGGCCCATAATCTGCGGACGCAAGTCCTAGACCATCTCCCAAGAGAGTCTGCCTTGATAAGCCACGGCAATGTTGATCAGTGATCAGAGGAAGTTTACGCAAACAACGGACGACTGAAATGTCCAGCAAAGACACAACAAAGTAAAGAATACACATAGGCAAGTAAAGGCGTAGACGAGCAAAAAACAGAACCAAGAAAGAAAAAGGAACAAAACGTAGGCATCAAAATTGTTACACATTGTTGGCAGTGTGTTTGTGTGGAGCAGATTTCATGGCGGCCGCAGTACTTTGTGAGCCCACGGGTCACGAGGGGAACCTCAAAAAGTCGGAGGCGATAGTCGCAAAAGACACGCAAAAGACTCTGTGCACTTTTGCTTGTGTGGGGATCAAGTGAATGTTGAGTCTTATTGCGACGGAGCAAAAGTTTCCAAAGAAACGCAATGCTACTGCTGGACGCCAAAGTTCACGGCGTTCTCCGCCTTCTCGGGCTCCTCAGGACGAAAGCCTCCAGAGCGCTCTCGAAGAGCTGGACGCCCGCGCGCACTAACACGATATCAGTTCATAGCAATTGCCACGATTGGAGCCGCCAGGGGTCGCCGGCGTCACGATTGGAGAGGCGTGACACTTGTGAGCTCCAGCGTCGCTGCGGGGGGGGGGGGGTGGTCGTCATTCGCTTCCCTGCAAACGTGCATCAAATCATCGAAACTGTACAACAATCCCAGTGCCAACTATTAGCGCAGCGCGGAATTTCTCAAGCAACGCACCGATGAGTTGCACCCAGCGGATACTTGAGCCAAAGGGTGCTCGTTGCCTGAAGCTGGCACGCCTGCTACTTATGTATATATATATATATATGTATGTTTCTAATTGCATCTTGTAGAATATAGATACATCCGCTCCACTACAGTTTGCTCGCTATGTTGGTGTGCTTGTGAGCCGAACTACATGGCTTCAATCGTCAGTGTGAAACGCGAGCTGGAGACCAAATAACCCGAGTGTCGGCTGGGACCCGTTGGGCCAAATTGCCGCTATGCACCAATCCAATGCCAAAGGCCCCCGCAGCGTCGTCTTGGGATAGGGCATGGGAGCGGCATCCTCTTTTGGCCTTCGCTGCACGTCTTGGTCAGCCATTGCCCATCATGGTCTCAGCGTTCTGTGATGACAGGAACAAGCGCGACTCAATACAATCTTGCAACCGGCAAGCTGGGGCTTGGCAACAGGAGAGGATTGGCTATTGGCTGTCAACAGCCCTTGTGCCGCTTTTCTGCCTTTCCCCAGCCAGGCCAGGAAGAACAGAAGTTCCTCTCGGAAGGCCAGCTGCAACGGACACATCTCATCAGAGCGTGTCCTGGAGGTGGTCTGAAGCGGCTCCCGGCAACAGGTGCTGCACCTCTGTCATTGTCGAAGCACCGAAGCTCGCTTCCATCTGATTGTGCCGTATTGCAGGCGTGGAATGGCGTGGACAAGCTTGGGCACGGGCCGTCTGGGACCACGATGCTGCCGGTTGCAGCCTCTAGGTCAATAGCATACAGTGCTATTGACTGCTTCCATCAGGGCGCGGACAGTTGCGAACCTGAGGATTATCACAACGGTGGAGGGCTGAGTCTCATGCAAAGAATGCTGAATCATTCCACATTCTAGGTCAGGTGGCACGTCAGGTGATGCTGTCTTGCCTCAAGCACTTGCAAGCTCTCATATCCATTGCTGAATGCTGAAAGCCGATATATATTGCTGCAGCCGATCTTTTTTTGGGCTGCCGACCCTTCACTGTTGGCCGCCAGCCACGTGGCGGGGCACCGGATCCGCGCGCCATCCAGCCGTCCAGCCGTCCAGCCCTCCCGAAGGTACGTTTCAACGTTTGCGCTTTGAGTCTTTGAGTTGCCGCCGCTGTTCGCCGCTGGTCGCCGCTGTTCGCCGTCCCCAAGCAAGGTGCTAATACACAGCTGTGATGGTCAAAGCTGTTGCTTCATGTGTAACTATGTTTCTTTTCTCCATTTGTTCCAGGATTCCAGAAGCATAAGGTCATGCTAGATCAAACGCATGCGCAGTAAACCAGCTAAGCTCTCTCGGAAAGTTGTGACGTTAAATGTTGAGCCAGCACGACGCGCGTTGAGTCAACCGCAAGTTGGCTTAACCACAGCATTGCGATGGAATCGGAAGCAGCACGTTGAAAAGGACATCTCCACAAAGTATGTGCTGCACCAAATGCAAAATATCGTCGACACGTTTTGCTGCCATGGAAACAGGGCCCTTTCTTCGCCTTCTTCACATCAGGATTCCTGGCAATCGGTGAATCAGTACAGAGTTTGCATTGCTGCAAGCAACATGAAGCCACGCCAACTCCTCCTCGCCCTCGACTTCGCCCTCGGCTTCAGCAGCTTCGTCATTACCGTCTTCCTTTGCCTGCAACAGTCGGATTGCAGGAGCAGGACAGTCCTTTATGTCTTGTTACACACTGTCCTGGTCATTTCTAAACATCATGTTTATGTGACATGATGTAGCAAAAATCCGGACTGCGTGACATGATTACGCTGCATGATGCTGCTATCTAATTCTGTGTCGACCGAGGCGTATCTACTTATCTAGTCTATACTTGTGAGATTTCGATTAGCACATGGGATGGAACTCTGGATTTTGCAAACAAACAAGGACCTCCCTGAATTTTGCCCTTACCGCTTAATCCAGCAAGAGCTGGCAAGGAAATTAGAACTCAGAAGTGGCCGGCTGTTCCGCATCTTTGTTGGAACGCGTGGCAAACGCGGTACTGACGTGGAGCACGGCTCCATGTTCTCCAAGCCAGCAGTTTGTGGTGCATTTGCGCTGTCGCTTTGCACACTGCCTAGCTGTCAACTCTCTTCAAGTCTTGCACAATGTCCCTCTCAGATCCACATTCCGAACAGCTTTCCTGCAGCGCATGATGTGCGCTTTCTCGCCGATGTTTCAAAACGCTGCACTAGCTAAGGCAAGCGCGGTCGCCTCTTGGTGTCGCTTTACAGTTAGCTCTCGTTTGCAAGCTGGTTTGGCCTGAGGCTGCTCTGCTTTGCGGATGTTGTGTGCTCCACGTTTGTGAATCCAAAATGCGTGTAAAAACTGTATATAGCTTGGCGTCGGTAGCTATTCTTGCTAAACGAGATGTTTACCGCGTGCGGAAAGCTGTTTCCAATTCATGCAGCCGACGGTGAGGTTCCCAATGCTGCATATGCAGCGGTAATGCGTGTGCACAACAATTTGTTTGTTTGGAAGTGAAGTGTAGCTCATGCTTTGACCGATGAAGAACGAGGCAAGCAACATGGGTACCAGTCTCCAGAATAGAGCAACTCTAATAAGAATTGCAGTGGACCAGCCGGCCTCAAACTCATTGGTGCTCATCCATCGCGCATCAATAGGCAGGTTTCCGACGTCCGTCAAACGGATGCACCTGCCAAGTGGAGGAATCAACATAAGTGTCAACCTGAACAATCCGCTGATATTGACAAGCGTTCCTCCCGGGCAAGGACCGGTGTTAAAAGCAGTTGTATGCTTCCTCAGCATGCACTGCACCAAAATAAAAGCTGCCTGGTCACTGGATACCTCATGGATTTGGCGATGATGTGTCAAGTGCCTGCCGCCGTTCTTCTCAATCTTCTCACGGGCTGCAGGTTCAAATGCATTCGCATAGACCTGTGCACCAAGTACTGGTCAGCACAATAGAGTGAGGATCCCTTGAACCAATCATGCGAGCCATGACTTTGCGATAAAACTACATATATAAGCACAAATCTATAACTATAGATACCTACTTGCGCGCACGCGTGTCTACACACGCAAACTTACCTGAGTCTCATTCTGCACATTACCCTACGTTGCGTTAATTACGGCACGCAACGGCACGATACACTATCGCGCTACGTTACGCTGATTCAACTGGATTTCAGTTACATTGCATTGCATTACTTTACGCTGCACTACACTACACTACACTTCACTACATTACAATACATACATCACATGGTATACACTGTTTATATACATGTGTAAGCAGGTGCCGGGGACTTCCATCCCCTCAAATTCCAGGTTGATGCCGCTGACGCCGCCAAAAATTGGGGAGAGAGCCTGCCGACCCAGCCCAGCGCTTGGGTTGGGACCGCCAGACCTCCTCCTGTCTGGATGCAGACCACCAGTCTTGTCCGCAGTAACGCCCCGCAGCAGCCGGGCAAGGGCAGCCGGGATGGTGGGAAGGACCCCGGCACGACTCAATGCAAAAGTCCTTGTCCCGCTTGTCCTGGTCCGGGGCGGCTGCCTTGACAAAGCCGTGCGCCATCGGAGGCATGGGCGCCTGCTCCCCTCCGGGGCCGGAGGCACCTGTGGAGAGAGCAGGACCCTCGGCCTTCTCCGGCAAGCTTGAGCCGCTCCAAGCAAGTCTCCAGATCAGACATTGGCTCGCACTGCCCTATCACGAGCATGGCTTGCCTCCAGCTCTTGCTCCGCCATGCGAACCTCCTTTGCCGTGACTTGCTGCTCATGAACCATCTGAAACGAGGCCGCCGAAGACACGCATGACATTGCAGGAATGTTACGTGAGCAGGGAAGTTTTTCAAAAGAGAGAGTCAAATACTCAGGATGCTTGAGCACAAATGGCACATGCCATTGTGGTCAAGCATTTCTCACACAAGCCGTGTTTCAATATGTTCCAACATTCACAAAATATACGCATACATACACATGCATGCATGCATAGACCAAAATCCACTACACACATACACTACATAAGTACATAAGTTCATAAGTTCATACATACATACATACATACTTACATACATACGTGCATGCATGCATGCATGCATGCATGCGTACGTACGTACGTTCGTACACACACATACTGACTTTCACACATACATACATTTCGTACACACATGAATACATGGAAGCATGTTTGTCCGTGTGTGTATATGTATGTACTATATGTGTCATACATACGTACGAATGTACATGCATTACAGTACAATCCACGACGATACGTTGCATTACAGTACATTACTTTAAGTGACAATTTATGTACAAGTTTATGTGCTTTACACACATTACATTACATTACATAACATAACACACACACATGCATACGTACATTCATAGATACGTACGTACGTACATGCATGCATACCTTACAGTACACAGCATCACACTACACTACACTACACTACATCACACTACATTGCATAATTGCGTCACATACTTACACACCGATATACCCACATACATACATACATACATACATACATACATACATTACACACATACATACATACATACTTGCGTACATAAGTTACATGAAGTCACACGTTACATTGCGGCGCGTTGCAAAAGATTACACTGAATGATATTTCTTTACGTGGCGCGTGTGATGTATGTACTGTAGTTAATGTGTGTCATGTGTGTGCGCTGTGTCTTTATGTACGTGCGCGTGCGTGTGTGTATGTAGCGTAGCGAAACGTAACCTACATCACACATACATCACATACATTACACTCATTACATTCATTACATATATTATATACATTACATACATTACACACACTACATATATTACATTCATTACATACATTACACACAGTACATCCATTACTTACCCTGTTTACATCACATACATTGCAAACATCACATACATTACACAGGCAACACACTGTACATACATTGCTGACATGCCAAGCGCAGCATACCTTGCAATACATTGCATGCGTGGCACGACGTGACATGAAATTACATGAACTCACACATACATTGCATTTGATTGTGTTAAATGACATTGCTTGACATTACATTGCATTGCATTACATTGCATTACATTATATACACAAATACATACATACATACGCACATACACAAACACATACATACATACGCACATACACATATATACATATACATATACATTACATACATTACATACATTACATACGTAGTATACATACATACATACCATGCGAAACCATACCAAACATGCCATACCAACATACATACATTACATTACATTACATTACATTACATTACATTACATACATTACATACATTACATACATTACATACATTACGTACATTACATACATTACATACATAACATACATAACATACATTACACACATACATACATACATACATACATTACATACATTACATACATTACAAGACATACATACACTACATACATTACATTACATACATACATTACATACATACATTACATACATACATACATACATACATACATACATACATACATTACATGCATGCATACATACATACATACATACATTACATGCATACATACATACATACATACATTACATTAAATTACATTACATTACATTACATTACATTACATACATGCATACATGCATACATACATACATTTCATACAATACATACATTACATACATTACATTACATTACATTACATACATTACATACATTACATACATACATACATTACATACATTACATACATTACATACATTACACACATTACACACATTAACATTACATACATTACACACATTACATACATTACATACATTACATTTTTCGGTTTTTTTCTCGTCCGGGCCAGCAAAATGTCGTATTTTACAGCATTTTCTCGCGAAATTGACACATTTTGCGCTAGCTCGTCAACATCCCCAGCATCGTTTTCAACATCCCCCGCATGTCCGACCAACATCCCTAGCATCACCAACAAATCGTGGGAAACCAAATCCAAAAATGTAGCTGGCGGGTTAACGGGGTGAAAACAATAATGCTTCAAACAGGAGGGCATTTCAATCCCAGCAAAATAAAAAATACAAAAACAATTAAGAAAAACAGAGCGGGGTAGTGATGATTCGA